GAAAGAAAGAAAAAGAGAGAGAGAGAGAGAGAGAGAGAGAGAGAGAGAGATTAGACAGAGAGACAGAGAGAGAGAGAGAGAGAGAGAGAGAGAGAGAGAGAGATGATAGAGGGGGGAATTATAGAACATCACATGCTTTTATAACTTGACAGTAGCAACTGGACTGTATAATTAATAACTAAAGTAAGTCTTCAGCTGTTAAGATTTGTGACATAATCACTGGGAATGGAGAAAACCTAGCAAGAAAACAGGAGAGAAACCTACTTTAAACTAAAAATACATTCTCACACCTTTAACAGCTATTATAATAGTATTGTGTCACATTCTGTGGTTGGGCTCAGAGTGGGAAAATTCAAATCCCCATGCAGCCATGAAGCTCAATAGGAGGTCTGGGACCAGTCATGACAGCCAGTGTGGTGAAGTAGTTAAGGCGTTGGACTGGCATTAGGAAGACCAAGGTTCAAATTCACCCTCGGCCATGGAAACTCTTTGGGTAGTTTTGTGCCAATTTCTTCTTCACAGCTTTGTTGTGTGGAAAATTAGAAGGGGGGAGGACACTCTGCTCTGCTTTGAGATCCTGAATGTAAGATGTGATATATATCAAAGATATACATAAATAAAATTATATAATGTGATATGTAATTTTACCTCTGTGTTGCTTTGTGTGAGATGGGCAGTTATACAAATGTGACAAATAAATAAATAAATAAAAATCTCTGAATGGGACATATTAATGGTTCAGTTCTATATGTATTTTCCTCATATATAACTTTTTGTTTGACTTTGAGAAAAACAAAGTATTGGTACGTCCCTGAGATAATTCTGGAAGTCTTCTAAAAACAAAGATCAACAAATCTTTGGGAAAAAAATGCCTCTAAGGACCAGTTCTTCTTTCTGGTCTTAAAGCCCTGCAAGTTCTGTGCCAAATACCAACATTTGAACAGCTGGACTAATTACACATGAAGCTGTTGGGTTTTTATCTGATTTTTTTTTTCTTGACGTGTGATTGCAGCAATTTATTTCAGCCATTGAAATAAATTGCAGGAGAGGAGCACCAATCTGTCCCTAGGAAGGAGAACACTGGAAGGGGAGGAGGTCCACAGAATCCTTGGTAAGCAAACAAAAAGGAGATTTTGGCAGGAGATGGTTCAGCCCAGAAGCAGAAGGAAGAGGAATTTTATTCGGAACTGGGTGGGAGCACAGAGGAATGGAAATGAAACCCAGACATGGGCTGCCCTGGGAGGACATCATGATGATAGCAAGGAGAACTGTTCGGTAAGGGAGTCCTACTGACTGTCAGGAAGGGATGGTTGGCTGGCTGGCTGGCTGGGGGCACTTCACTGGGTCAAGGTTGCTGTCTAAGAGAACAGCCTGCGGTTTCAGTGATTTTCTTTTCTGATTTTTATCCTTGCTGGAGAAAGACTGAAGCCCCTTCCCCCAGGTTTTGGCTCCAGGTAAAGCCACCCATGGCACCATGGTAACTGGACAATAGACTGGAATTGGAAGGGAGAATCCCACAGAGCTTGCTTGGCCATCTCAGCTCCTAAAAAACCAGTGATGGGCACCCCAAGACCACCGAGGGTAGAGGGAAGAAGTGCTGTACACACAATCTCTTTTGACAGGTAGATTTTTTAAAGCACTCAGTGGGCTTCCATTTAATCAGTATTTAATAAAATGAGCAAAACCAGCGAGATTTATTAATTGACTGATTATGTGCCATCAAGGTGTTGGCTCTTAAAGACCACATAGATAGACCTTCTCCAGGATGGTCTTTTCCCCCACCTGCTCCTTCAGGTTTTCTAATGGGCCATCCATTGCCACTGTAACTGAGTCCATGCATCTTGGTGTTGGGTCATCCTCTTCTTCTCTTTCCTCCCACCTTTCCCAGCATTATAGACTTCTCAAGGGAGCTAGGTTTTCACATAAAGTATCCAAAATAGGATAATTCGAGCCTGGTCATTTGTGCCTTGAATGAGAACACTGGATTGATTTTTCTATAATGCATTTGTTTTCTTGCCTATCCTCAGTCTTCACCTACACCAAAGTTCAAAACCATCAATATTCTTTCTATCCTACTCCTTCAAAGTCCAGCATTTGATTTCATAGAGCAACACAGCGAAAACCATTGTCTGCACAATTCTTATCTTTATAGTATGTGGATTTCCTGGTTTCACTCCTGGTTTCTTGTCAATATTTTTAGAAGTAGTCTGCCCTTGCCTTCTTCTTCTGAGAGTGTGACTGAGAGTGAGTGACTGGCCCAAAGAATGGCCGAGAGTGAGTGACTGGCCCAAAGTCATCCAGCTGGCTTTGTGCTTAAGGCAGGACTAGAACTCACAGCTTCTGCTTTTTAGCCCAGTGCCTTTAAACACTACCCCTAAACTGTATAACCCAGGCAAGTATATCACATTAGTCCTTAATATGAAAGCAACTATGGTACCAGAGAAGTGGAGGGTTCACTCAAAAGTACAATCCTCAAATCTCAGTGTTATAGGAGATAGATAGATAGATAGATAGATAGATAGATAGATAGATAGATAGATAGATAGA